GATCGACTCATAGAATGTGAGAGAGCTGATCTGCAATCTACTCTTCATCAACGAGCTTGCAGTACTTCGCTCTTAGGATTAGAGAAGGTTCCCGGCGCTCCGCACTTAATCTCCAAGCTTGTATTGCTCCGCTCATAGAATCTAACAATTTGCCCTGCGGTCCGCACTTGATCTACAAGCGCGTTGTGTCCCGTTCATAGAATTTGGCAAAAGTGCCCTACACTCCGCTCGATCTACAAACTTGCAGTGCCCGCTCATAGAATTTGATAAGGTGATTTGCGCTACGCACTTGATGTACAAGCTTGTGATGTTCCGCTCAAAGGACTTGACAGGGTGTCCTACATTGATCTTGATCCTCATACTTTGTAGCTTTGTTGTTGATGGTATGGACCCTGAGGTCCACCCGCTCGAGTTGCTTCAACGCCTTCGCGTAATGGCTTCGTGTAATGGCTTTGTGTTGCAAGGTTTTATTTCAATGGTGCTTCCGGGTCTCCGAGTTACAGCTCCGTGTTGCAAGGTTTGTGCCCCTTGGCAACGGTGCTTCCTTCCTTCCCAGGACGAGTGCTGCCGGGAGGGCCTCCTTCCTGGCTCCGCCCTTGTGGAATGGCTTCACGTTGCAAGGTTTGTAACCCCTTAGCAAGAGTGCTTCCTTCCTTCCTGGGACGAGTGCTGCCGGGAGGGCCTCCTTTCTGGCTCCGCACTTGTGGAATGGCTTCGCGTTACAAGGTTTGTAACCTCATAGCAACGGTACTCCTGGACCTTCATGATCAGCTTCGCGTTGCAAGGTCTGTACCCCTTTAACAACGATGCTTCTGGGACTTCGAGTAACAGCTACGCGTTGCAATGTCTTTACCCCTTTAGCAACGATGCTTCCTTCCTTCCCGGGACGAGTGTTGCCGGGAGGGCCTCCTTCCTGGCTCCACCTTTGTGGAATGGTTTCGCGTTGCAAGGTTTGTAACCCCTTAGCAACGGTACTTCTGGACCTTCATGATCGGCCTGCAATTGCAAGGTCTGTACCCCTTTAGCAATGATGCTTCCATGACTTCGAGTAGCAGCTCCACGTTGCAAGGTCTGTACCCCTTTAGCAACGGTGCTTCATTACTTCCCGGGACGAGTGTTGCCAGGAGGGCCTCCTTCCTGGCTGCCGCTGCATTGCAAGGTTTGTACCTTTTTAGCAATGATGTTTCCATGTCTTCGAGTAACAGCTCCGTGTTGCAAGGTCTGTACCCCTTTATCAACGGTGCTTCCAGGACTTTGAGTACTAGCTCCGCGTTGCAAGGTCTGTACCCCTTTAGCAACGGTGCTTCCTTCCTTCCCAGGACGAGTGTTGCCGGGAGGGCCTCCTTCCTGGCTGCCGCTGCGTTGCAAGGTTTGTACCCCTTTAGCAACGATGCTTCCATGCCTTCGAGTAATAGCTCTACGTTGCAAAGTGTGTGCCCCTTTGTCAACAATGCTTCATCATGGTACCAGTGCATGGTTCTGGGATGTGGAGGTCGGCCACATATGGCTCTCCCCCGACGACCTTTCTCCTCAGCTCGTGTAGCCTTAGCCTCATATCTTTCCCCACATCAGGGGCCAGTTCTGCTTGTGCGCGCCCAGCGCGGAGCTGAACTTGCGCAGAACACTTCGCAACCCTCTCGCATACGTGAGGTCGAGATTTAGCATGGCATCTGTCTGAGAAGGCTGTCCGCCAGCCCGGTCAACAAAAGTGACAAGACGAGTCGTCCTTCCTTGCTACCATGGCTACCCAACTTGTCGGGACACATACTCCCTTCGAGATCCATTTGTGCTGGTACATGTTTGCTGATACGTCTCCTGGGGTGTCAGCTGTCTACGCGGTTGACGGGAGTGATGAGATGAATCGTTCCCTCCTTCCCGGAATGAGTGTTCCCGGGAAGGACTCCTTCCTGGCTGTCGTGGCTAACTTGCCGGGACACAAACTCTATTCTGGATCCGTCTGTGCCGGTACGTCTATGCTAGTCTGTGTTGGTACGTCTGTGCCGGCACGTCCCTTCAGGGCCCATCTTTGCTGGTATGTCTGTGCTGATACGTCTCCCGGGGTAGCCAACCCTCCTACCTGGTTGACAGGGGTGATGAGATGAATCGTTCCCTCCTTCCCGGAATGAGTGTTCCTGGGAAGGCCTCCTTCCTGGCTGTCGTGGCTAACTTACCTGGACACATACTCTATTCGGGATCCGTCCGTGCCGGTACATCAGTGTTGGTCCGTGCTGGTACGTCTGTGCCGGTACGTCCCTTCAGGACCCATCTTTGTTGGTATGTCTATGCTGATACGTCTCCCGGGGTAGCCAGTCCTCCTACCTGGTCGATGGGGGTAATGAGACGACTCATTCCCTCCTTCCCGGGATGAGTGTTGTCGGGAGGGCCTCCTTCTTGGCTTCTCAACTTGCCGGGAAACGTACTCCATTCGAGATCCATCATGCCCTGAGTGTACGAGCATGGTGTGATATTCATGTAATTTCCGATTGTATGTTTGTATTTTTAACTAGTTTTTATTAGTTCTAGTTGAGGAAATTACACACTTTTGGTGTAATACTTTATTTTCATATTTATTTGTAATTTGTTTAGATTAGGACTTTTTTGAGCTAAACAAGTCAAAGATCATCCAAGGGATCAAGATTGGACCTTAAAAGATCAAGGAAAGTGCAAGGAGGCAAGAAAGATTTCGATTTGGAAAAAATACCCATGTACCCGGTCGGGTATTGCCTATACCCGATCGGGTATTTGCTTGATTCGATTATCCAAATCAAATCCGGGAACAAATGATCATGGGAGCAAGATTTCGTTAAGATTTGTCACATACCCGATCGGGTATGCCGACATACCCGATCGGGTATGCCCAGAAAAGTGAATTTCTGGGAAATTTCCTAAGATACCCGGTCGGGTATCCTATATACCCGGTCGGGTATCAGACCCTGCAGCTCCCAAAAGCCTATAAATACACCCCTTTCCTTCACAATAAAGGAACGAATTAATATATACTTCTAAGCTCAGTCTGGAATAGTTCTTTCTTTATATTTTCTTCATGTTTAGTCTCCAAATGAGGAGCTAAACTCTTCCATCTTGGTTTTGCTATTTTGAAGCTTAATGAATTTGTAAGTTGTGAGTTATTCTCTTTAATTTTCTTCCTTGAATATTAATTCTTCCTTTAAATACTATTTCTATATCAATGTTGGGGAGTGTTACTAAGATGACAATTAGTTAACATCTTGACATTAGTTATAGTAATAGTTATTTCTTCCTCTATGTTAATATTGGGGAGTGTTACTAAGATGACAATTAGTTAACATCTTGATATTAACTATAGTAGGATTCATACTCTTTAATATTCTTCCTTGAGTATTAATTAATTCCTATTCATATTTCATATTAATATTTTGAACATTACTTAAAGGATCAACTAGTTTTGTTTCATATATTAATTATTACTAGAATCGATCGATTAATACGCTTGTTATTAATTCGGTTCCTTCAACGGTAGTAAACTTGGATTGTTAATGCATGCGTCTCATGATTAATAATCTAAGGGGAATTAATTATATTGATTAAACCAATAAACCGCTTGTGTTGAGGTTATCAATCTCAATCGTTTTCATCTTAAGTTTATTGCTACTATCGGGCCAATATACGACGCTTGTTCTATATTACCTCGGTAGTAAGTTTTATTAATGAACGTGTCTCGTTATTAATAACTACCCTCAATGAACTGGATATACTCCTCGATTGAGTATTCGAGAGGAAGATAGTTAAAGATATAACCGGGATCGACGAACATTTCATTAAGTGGATAAAAGCAAAACCAAGTCCTCATCTCATTAAATTAAACTCATATAAGTTGTTTATCTTAGTGTTAATTAAATTCAATCACATCAAACCTAAAACCCCCCTTGTTACTATTGATATAAGAAAAAAGTATTCCTTTCCCTGTGGATACGAACCTTACTTCACTATACTACGTATTAGTGTTGTATTGATAAATTATTTTGAGTACACCTCACAATGAACCTACAAATTCAGAAAATTTTGTAGAAATCTCAAATTTATATTTTTATTGTTCAAGGGTTGTCCTTTGTTGAGCGAGTGAGGTCCGTGCCCATCTTTGGATGAGGCTTCGAACTGAGGAGAAGTCTGCTGCTCATGAGGGAGACCCTCAACCGCCGCTGTCGCTCGAGCTGCCTCCATCCATGGCTGTCGCCGAACGGAGTTGAAGGTGAATCCCTGTCGCTGAGGTCAGCCGAAAAGAGCTTGTGCAGTCCTCGGTTCGTACGGATAGAGGAGATAGAGAGCGATGGCAAGGCTCCGTCTGCGTCACGTGTGAAACCCGTTCGTCAATCCGAGGAACCACAAGCGGCCATTAATGGCAAGGCTCCGTCTGCATCCGCCGTTGCTCAGTTCTCTCGGTCGTTCGTCGCTCGGGTTCTCCTTGGTTCAACCTTGGTGGCTGCGTATCCTTGGGACCTAATCTGGAAAATTTCATATCTGATTTTTGCTCGAATCTCTACCGGTTCCTACCAAAAAATGAGAGATGGCTCTCAATGAAAGCACCAATGTTGGTAGAAAATATCCTGGGTAGAGAAACTGGCAGCATTTCAGTATCGTAAAATAGCGTAGAGAATACAAGGGGGTGATGGCCTATTTATAGGCATTCATCACAAGTCCAAAGTCTAATCTACGTGGGCTTGGCCCAAATACATAATACATGTCCAAGTTAATGGGCGAACCGGCCCGATAAATAAGTAAATGAGCAAGGGGTGATTCCCGCTCGTGAGACTGCGTCTTGGGCCTAGTTGGGCCAAAGCTCAGGGATAACCATTTTAAAACTATATTCCTCCGGTGCATTCAACATGTACAACTTGTCACAATGTAAATATACATGATGTCATTAATATTATATTTTGTTTTTAATATATTTACAACAATAATGGAAAACTATTTTATGAAATTGTTTCATACAACTTTTTAAGTGTTTGTCGTATATATAATTGTTGGTATCCAAACCAAAACTTTTATAAATTTCAATGTAATCTATAAAGATATATATAAGAGTATATATAAGGTTTACAGTACATACATGTAGAGTTTAGAGTTCACACATTTTTATAATAAATATACAAAAGAAAATCAAAACAACAACGGCCGCCTTTTGTTCTTCAATCAAGTCAGAGCAAACAATCTGAGTGAAGAGAAAAAGAGGAACTTTACATATAAATTCAAGGGATCATTGAAATCTCCACCAAGATTTTGTGCAGTGCTTGCGGCTTTGAGAAGAACGGGGAATGATCTGAACCCTTGAGATGAAAAACTTTTTCTATACGGTTTTGATTGATCATGCTCCGCTGTAAATCGATTGGTATGGCATTGTCTTCTAGAGTTTCAACATAAAACCGTCTAACTGAGCCATACTTGAGGTCGGACAAAGAGATCTTCTCCAGAACAGGTGAGAATGGGATGGGCCTCATTAACACGGATGCTAATGCAGCATCCTAAATGATATGATGTAAGAAACATGAGGAATTAGTTACCAACATGAACGAATTGGATAAGCTTTAATTTGTTGTACTTAAATTGGTGTAACCAAATGAAAACTTCAAATTTAGAAACTATATACTAAAGTAATACTGAACTCACGAGCTCAACAAAAAATTAGCAAATTTGGCTCATATTTAGAAGAGATCGATTGACATGAATTTTTATCATAACTTTTTTTTTTTGACAAAATTGTTTCTCATATATTCGCAGACTATTACCAAATTTGTATCAAAATCTTTGAAAAAAATAATTTATCACGAACAAATTAGCACAAAGTCTTGACAAAAGTCCACGTCTATTCATAGCAAATCATGTTAAACTCCTCATCATCTTTTGTGTTTAAATATGATAACAGTTTGATATATAAAATTAGATAGTAAATAGATATAGTTTATTGAAGACAAACTATGGTAGCATTATATATCAAACTATTATTAATGTTTACACGCCGTATAGTATTCAAAGACATGTTTTTTTGTACTGATAAGAATTAACATACCTTAGCAGGGCTATGGTTAAATAGTAAGTCCCTCAAGAGCGATTTGTTGATGTCAAAGGCAGTTGGGGGATTATCTTTTCCATTAGCATATAAAAATATTTGAGCCTCTTGCATCATCAGGTCATTTGAATCTGTCTGCAATATGATATATACATAACTAAAATGAGTTAAGCACACCAGTACCAATATACACATAGTTAGAGACATTAAGTTAAAATGCATGCAAGACCTACATACCTTTTGAGAGAGCATATCAAGAGTACTTTGGCCGCTGGTCAACATAGTCGCTGCAATGAAAACAGCTTTGGAGACTTTAGTCGGGAAAAGCTCCATTGCATATGATATACAAGTACCTCCAAAATCATGTCCTACCAAAATCACCTGTTTGTTTCAAATGAGCAAGTATATAATAAAAAACAATTGATCAAAACTACTTTTATAAGTTTAAGTTTAAGTTCAATTGATATTGAAGTAACAAATTAACAGGTGTTAGAGAGAATTATCCAAATAGGACTAAAATAATGATAAATTCATAAATATGACTAATGAATTACTCCGTATTATATTCTTATTCCCAAAATTCAACACACTCATTCCTGTCTTGAAAAGTTTTAATTAGTGTATTCTATTAATAAAATTAAATAAGTCCTGTTTGAGGAATAAAATATAATTAGTCAATTTCTGAACTTTTTCTATGTTTAAGTCCAATATTGAACAGTTTGAAATCCTTAATCATTAGCTATCTAGGTACTTGCACAAATATAAAAATTGAGACTAAGAAGGCCATGCACCAAAAGGTATATTGCACATTCTTTCCCTTATAGCTTGAGGGGGCAATCGGACCCGGCCCACCCCAAATTTAAAAATCCTTTGTATTTTTAGTGTAAAAATATGTGTGTAAAAATTTATCTGAACAAATTCTTTATACTGGCCCAACCCAAGCTTCGACCCTGGTTACGCCCCTGCTTAATTAGACTGTATACTCTAAAAAGTGATAAAGTTTGAAATATAAATGCAAAGGGAGAAAGTAACGAGAATAAATACCAAATTTTATTGTATAATTATATGTACTGAGAAAAATAATATTGTAGTAACGATATCAACAACAAGAAAAAAATTGTACTACTAATGATAAATAATATAATGCACCAATTGCTTGTGACCGGCTGCCTATGCGGTCATGCCTTGATTGGGTCATAAAGGGTTTTTTCCCATATGTAATGTGTGGTAGTTTACATGGAAAATATTTGTTTGCCAAATTATAGTGTTAAAATAATGTTAATTGAGAATAAATGCAAGGGAAAAAGTGAAGTTCATTTCTAACACATATGCTAGGGTACACATAGATTTCATAAATGACTAGGGATTGACAATATAATTTGAAAGAAAATAGGATTAATGTTTTCTCATATTGTAGATATAGTTCGAGTTTTTAGTCATTTTATACGAGAAATAAATAACTAAATAAATAACAAATAATTAAGTAAATAAATAAGTAGGTACATAAGTAAACAAATAACTAAATAAGTAAGTATATAATTAAATAATAAGAAATAAGTAAATAAATAAATAAATAAATATTTAGTAAATAAACAGGTAAATAAATAAATAAATACATAAATAAATAAATAAATAAATAAATAAATAAGTAAATAAATAAATAAATAAGTAAATAAATATGTAAATAAATAAATAATACATAAATAAGTAAGTACATAAAAAATTTAAAAAATAAATAAGTAAACAAATAAATAATAAATAAATAAATAAATCATTAAATAAAAAATACATAAATAAATAAGTATACAAATAAGTAAATAAATAAATAACTTAATTAATTAACAAATAAATAAATAAATACATAAATAAATCCATAAGTAAATAAATAAGTTAAAGAATAAATAAATACATAAATAAATAAATAACTAAATAAATAAGTAAATAAATAAATAAATAAATAAATGAGTTTGAGAGGTACTTAGACTGTTTTTTTTTAGCATGTCTTTATTTTCCTCCAATTTGTTTTCCTTTATAACTTTCCACTTCATAGGTTATCATCTATTTCTTTCCCTAATGATATAGATAACTAATATGCACATAAAAGTGAGTTACGTGATTTATGTAATATGCCTTTAGCGCGTGTTAGTGACAAAAATCGCTATTAGTTATATAAGTAGTAATATAATTTCAAGCTATTGTTAGTAATACAAGTGATAATTATCTCTGATCATTACTCACAGTGACACTAGTAACACTACCGGTCACAAGACCTTGTGATGTCAAACTTATCATGCAATTTTCTAGCTCATTAATACTCTTATATACACTTCCAAAGCATCCAAATGCAAAGTCTTAATTACACCATCTCAATAAAAGAGGTTAAAGAGCATAGTATTTTCTATATCCCAAATTAAGTTTTCCATTTGCATTTTTTAAACGTTTCATGCCATGATTCTTTTCTTTACCGGGAAATAATTTTAAAAAACTTATAATCTTATCGTTACTTTTTAACAATACACGCACTCATAAATTCATAATAATACTATTACCCATCAATTGCTTCACAAAATTATTTACCCTTTTTTTCCTTCCTACCGTTTGTGGTTAAACTAGTTTATTTAATCCTTCATCTAAAACATCGCATCTTTTGCTAGCCTTGATTTTGGAATGAGGTGGAATAATTTACACAGCTAAGGCATATATATAGTTGTGATTAATCAATCATAAAAAGAACCTTTTCTCCGTCAGATAGAGCATCGAAAAAATCAGTGAGTGGTTTCACATATTGTGACAAGCTGGTTATACTGTTTGTGTCAAAAGAATTAACTCCTGAACCAGTTAAATCTATGGCAGTAACTTTGAACCCAGATCCTTCCAGAAGTGAAATCGTTTTATACCAACACCAGGCCCCAAAACCTCCACCATGAACCAGGACATAATGGTTGGTTTCTACATCATCAAGCTTCATATCCTGGAAATAAATGCAATAATTATACTGGTTAATAAAAAACGTTTTATGTGGGATGCAAATTATCATAATTAGTTTTATTTTATTATTGTTGTAATTAATTATCAACAAACAAATAATTGTTGGTTCTCTCATCATATATGATCAAACTAGACTATAAATCCGTGCGTTGCACGGGAAAAATCAACTCACATTACTCAAATAAAAAGGGATCGAATGAATATTGTATACTACCTCCGGCCCGGGTAACGGTCCCAATTGAGTTTACGATATTTGAAATGTCAAAAATTTAAGTGATCCTTGTTAATAATAGAATTATTTTAGTAAATAAAATTTACATATTCAAAAATTATATTAAAAGTCTTGTAAAGTCGCAAAAACTCAAATTTGATAAAAATTGGATATATAAAGAAAAAGGTTAAGAAAAAATTACATTAATTTTCATCTAATTTTTTATTCATTAATTAAATATATTTTAAATACGAAGTATAATTTTTCTATATTTTAGAAGAATTAGAAAATTTAATCAGTTCAATAAGAATTTCATAATTTAAGCAGTTTTAACCAATTATGTCAATTGCAATCAGTGGAGGAGCTAGGGGGGGGGGGGGCAAGGGGGGGCAAGCGCCCCCGCTCCGACTAATTTTTTTTTACTAGTATTACTTATAATATGTTTCTTGCCCCGGCTTCTTTTTTAATTTTAAAAACAATAAGTACAACTTAAGGTTATTTTAAGATGAAGTGTTAAAATAAATAAAAAAGTATTTTCAGAAAAAGTAAAAAAAATGAAATATAGAATAAAAGGGGATTAATGTATGTAATACATTTGGCATCCCAATTTGCCAATAATCTGGAGTAGCTCAGTGGAGACAGGTAACACGCTCCCTTCGTATCACCCGTGTTCAAATCCCCCCAGGACAGATTAAGTTAAACTTGTTTTGCTTTTCTTCCGCCCCAATTCTTCCAATTTTATTTTCTTCAGCCTACAACTCGTCCCACACCGGATGAAATAGAGGATTCACTCCTCATTTGAGCCTATATAATCGCTCCTTCATAGTTGATAAAGATTAAGTTGCTAGTAAAGCTTGAGTGCAAGTATTAGCTACAATATAAACAAATATTGAATACCCATTCGGTTTTTGTGAAAAAACCGAATAACCGGACCGAAAATTCGGTGTCCGAAAAATTGGGTCCCAACTTAGATCGGTTCGGTTTCGGGTTATAGAATATACGAAACCGAAAGATCGGTTCGGTTCGGATATTTCCTATTTCGGTTCGGTTCCCGAATCGAATCCAGCCCTAGTTCTCACTTCTCCCCATTTCAAAAGGATATTATTAATGCCTGCGCATCACAAACAACAAAAGCCATAATAAATGATCTTGGTGACAAGTTTTTTTCTTTATTGATTGATGAAGCTCGTGATAGTTCTGTGAAAGAACAAATGGCAGTTGTTGTGAGATATGTAAACGATCATGGAGTTGTGATTGAGCGGTTCCTTGGGGTTAAGCATGTTGTTGAGACCACATCTCTTTCTTTAAAAAGTGGCATTGATGATTTTTTTTTCAAAACATGAATTATCAATGTCTAGAGTTCGAGGACAAGGGTATGATGGAGCTTCTAATATGCGAGGTGAGTTGAATGGATTGAAGACTCTTATCTTGAATGAAAATCCACATGCGAGATATATTCATTGTTTTGCTCACCAATTGCAATTAGTTGTCGTGGCTGTTTCTCAAAAAAATAATTTTGTGAGTGATTTCTTTGAATATTTGTCCATGATTACTAACATGGTTGGATCCTCTTGTAAAAGAAAAGATGAATTTCGCCAAAAACAACATGAAAACATGGTAGCCATGTTAGAAAAAGGTGAAATTACGACTGAGAGAGGATTGAATCAAGAAAGTACTTTAGCACGACCGGGAGCTACTCGATGGGGTTCACATTTTACAACCATTATTCGTATTCTATCTTTGTGGTCTCCAACAATCCAAGTGCTTGACAATATATTTGATGATGAAATTGATTCGAAATCAAGGGGCAAAGCTAGTAGTTTGGTTGAAAAAATGGAGAGCTATCAATTTGTTTTTATAGCCCACTTGATGAAGAAGGTATTGGGATTGACGAATATGTTGTCACATTTCTTGCAACAAAAAGATCAGAACATTCTTGAGGCTGTGAGCTTGATTAAAAGCACTAAAGAGAAGTTCCAAGATTTGAGAGAAAGTGGATGGGAAGAGCTATTAGAAGATGTCAGTAAATTTTGTGTGAAGAATAAAATTGACATTCTAAACATGGAAGATACAACTCATCGTTCTAGACGCGTTCGCCATCCGGTAACGAATTATCATCACTTTCGAGCTGATATTTTTTATCAGGTATTTTTTATTAAAATTTAAATTATTTATTAGTTGTTATTATTATTATTATCATTATTATTATTACTATTACTACTACTTTTTATTATTACCTTATTGTAGGTTATAGACCAGGTCAATCTAGAAATGGAGAATCGCTTTAGTGAGTGAAATACAGATTTACTCGCTTGTTTAGCTTGCCTTGATCCTAAAGATAATTTTTCCAATTTCTGTGAGTCAAAGCTACTCAGTCTTACGGAGTTATATTCATCTGATTTTTCAGCTGTTGAGCAAATGGAGCTTAAAGAACAACTCCAAGTTTGGATATATGAGATGAGAGGAAATGAAGCATTTTCCACTTTACAAAGTATTGGTGAAGTGTCTAAGAAGATGGTTGAGCTTACAATTCACAAATCTTTTCACTTGGTCTATCATCTTATTGAGTTGGCTCTAGTGTTACCAGTTGCAACAGCCACAGTTGAAATAGCTTTCTCATCGATGAATATTATCAAGACAGATCTTCGCAATAAGATGGGAGATGACTATCTTACGGATTGCTTAGTATGCTACATCGAAAGAGACATTTTTCAAGCAATTGATAATGAAACTATTATGCAGCATTTTCAAAATATGAAAACTCGTAGGATTGATTTGCCTAGGTTGCAGAAGTATATCAAGTAGTATGTAATGAACTATAATTTTTTGTTAAATTATTACGCTATTGTTGTTCTTATTATATTTTGGACAAGAACTTTAAAATTTTTAGTCTTTGGTTTGCCCCTCCTTGGACAAACCTCTGGCTCCGCCACTGATTGCAATGTTACTTAACGGGGTCTTGTGAATAAGTTCTACTTCACTTGACTTCCATGAATGTCACTTATGAGAGAATGAGCTTTAATGTTATGACTTGAAGAATGCTTCAATGTGGGAATAGGCGGGAATAATTGGAAAATTTTAATTGTTCACTCAAATCCTTTATATTATATAAAGATATGACATGAACCATCATCAATCGCATGAAGTTCAAAACTCCCAAACATGTTTACCATATGGGCAAGTTTGAAAAATGTTAAAATGTAGGTCGTAAACATTTTTATATCTTTCCATAGGAATTGTTAACTTAACACTTTTTGTTAATTATAAATTACTACCTCCGTTCCTTTAAGATTGGGACAAGAAAATATGGTGTGTTGTAAAAAAAATGGAATTGTATAGTTGCTATTGAATTGATTAAAAATGCGAATAAAATAAGAATGAATTGCAGCCACTCAAATATTACCAAATATGAAATGAATTATAATACAATAGTAGGAGTATAGAAATTCCTTTAAATATGGGAAAGGGAAAAGTACGGAAAAGGTACTTTTGGTTGAACCCGTTTTCAGATAGCTAGGGTCATGTGTTTCATTCTTTATCAAAGTGGTTCATGTGTTTGAATTCCGTTATCATAAGAGGGTCAGACCGTTAAAAACATCTGAAAAAGACCGTTAAAAGTAACTCCGATTTTCAAAAGTGCCCGAAAAATTAAAAGAAAAATATCAGAAGGTGCGCCTCAATAAGACGACCGCTAGGCCATCTTCCTTTTTGGTTTTCAGCCACCCTTGTCACCGGAAAGTCCGTCGAAAAAGTGATATTAGCGAAATCATTTTAAAAAAAATAAATCAAACAGATCTGAAAAATCCAAAGGCGTAGGTGGTTTGGAGGTCATCTTGACGAGGAGCACCTTTCGGTATTTTTCTTTTAATTTTTCGGGCACTTTTGAAAATCGGAGTTACTTTTAATGGTCTTTTTCAGACGTTTTTAACGGCGTGACCCCTTGTGATAACGGAATTCAAACACATGAACTACTTTGATAAAGAATGAAACACATGACCCTATCTGAAAATGGGCCCAACCACAAGTACCTCTTATGTACTTTTCCCTATGGGAAAATTCTCGAAATACGAGTAAAAATGTTTGAAAATTCTAAAATAGGACTATCATATTTTTATTCTCTAAATATGAGTAATTACTATCAAACATGGAAAATACTGCAGAGTTTAATGTCTGCTACTGCCAAAACACGATATTAATTACTCCTATTTAGAGAATAAAAACGTAATAATCATATTTTGGAATAGACAAACGTTTTTATTTCTATTCAGAAAAATTTCTTTTTTTTTATATACAAATAAAAAACAAATACCGGCATATTTAGAAAATATGGATGATCTATATTTAATAATGACATTAATATTCTCATATTAGTAACTGTAATATCCAAATATGGTATTGTAGTACAATTTCAAGATTAGAAAATATGGTCAAATATGACTATAATTCCAGTATGACCGTAATACCAGCATTGTCAATTGTAAAAGTTGAAATTTTTCCCTTAACCAGGAATATAATTTCAAACTTACATACTAGTACTACCTCCGTCCCCCTATGTTTGGGACAAAGAGTTGTGGTTGGTATTAAATTGATAAAGTGTGAATAAAGTAAGAATGAATTGTAGCCACTCAAATATTACCAAATATGGTATGAGACAAACTTAATGGGACGGACGAAAAAGGCAAATGGGACAAAGTTAGGGGGACGGAGGAGTATTAGGATCAGAATTAGGCTAGGGAGGAATAACCACTTGCAAATTTGCAATCCACTCAAATACAAATTAAATTACTCTGTTCAACAAGATTGAAACTAACACACTGTTTGATCTTAATTTAAAGATAAAATGAAAATTCATATACAAATTTACAATGTAATACGGGGTAGCAAGAATCTAAGATCGGCAGGCACCTTATTAAGCAGTTGGCGAGGGTGAAGCAGAGGATCGGTGATCGAACGGTCTCTAGAGCTCGAGCTCCGAGCAGAAGTCTGATTTTTCTTCTTCGGATAACGAAGCGAGGCGGAACGATCAATCGCCGCCAAAGCTCCACTGCAGCCATTGTTCTGCATCTGTTGCCGGAACAGAATGGCAGCGGCGAGCGGCGTCGGGTCTTGAATGACCACAACCTCGTCGTTCCTCGACGACGGCCGGATCCTGCGCCACTTATTGCTCCCCACAAAGCCGCCAACAACGGCGGATCGCTTGTGAGGTTTAATCGACAGCTCATCCGTCGACGCTGCCTTCCGCGAGGACCGCGAGTGACAGAGCCCCATTTCTACAGACCAATTTCACCAGCAATTAAGCTTATACGGAGTATAAGCTAAGTGCAGCTGAGATATATAGACTATATGTGCAGAATAGATACGCGGCTATGATTAGGCATGGTGGATTAGAATAGGTTTCAGGCGAAGAAGAAGACGCAGAATTGTAGGAAGATGGTTGCATTTTAGTAGCAGCAGATCATTACCCCATTTTTCTAACGATGGTGATTTGGTGTAGTGTTTAAAGTAAACAGCTGGACCCCACCCTGGACCCCTTTAAGTAAGGGTCGCCAGAAATAACTGAATTCCGTTGAACGCTTAATTTTTTTAAAATGATTACGGGCCCATTTGGTAAGGCCCATCCAAATAAATAACACCGTATTTACTGATGTACTCCCTCCGTTCCTATTAAAACTTCCAACTTTCCTTTTTCGTCCGTTCCAATTAAAACTTCAACTTTCCCTTTTAGTAAAGAATTTGTGGTTCACAACATTTCTTACACATTTCTCTCTCCTCTGCACAACTCTCCACCACACAATACCCACTATCTTAAATTGTGTGCCAAACCAATTTGGAAGATAAAATAGGAACGTAGGGAGTAATTGAATTGGCATGATTTTGAATATACTTCTTTTATAATGTAACACGAGAGCTCGTTTGGTAATACTTAAATCGGTTGTATTGATGGAATCTGCTAAAATTTATCAAATTTTAGCTGAAGTTACTCGATTGACTGATTCTACTTCATTATGAAAAAATTATATTTAAAATATATTATATTAATTAAATAAAAAAATTATATGAAAATAGCTAAAATGATCTTTTTACTGGTTTCAGCTAATACAGCCAGAAAAATAATTTCAATCTTACATTTTCTAATTATTACACAATTCAACGCACAAAATCAAAAGTTACATATTTGGTGAAAATGTTGCTTGTAAGCCGAAAAAAGGGTTACTAAATGGCTTTGAATTAATTCAATTTGAGCAATTTGAGTTCTAAATTATTCAAAAATCATCTTTTGATAACTTTTATTATGACAAAAATCTGAAAAGAAAGTTAGAATTCTTGAGTTTTAAGATCTCTAGGAATCTGATTAGATTTCAAGTTAAAACATTAATTTTGTGACAATATACTATTAAGCTATAGTATTCATAAATTCAAATAATGCTCTTCACGTTGATCATTTTTCATCGAAAGGAGTACTACGGTGTGATTTTTTTAAAGGAATATACTACGGTATAATGGAAGGTGGCTTTATTATTAAAATATTAAATTACACTCCGTGACTTTTAAAAAGTCAAAAGTTGATAAGTGCGTATAAAAATGTCAAAAGTTCAATACTCCAAATTCCAAAAGCATTCTTAGACCAATAAAGATTTTAAAGCTTCAATCACCGTGACTTCTGTGCAATGTTTTAATGCGAACATAAATGATTAGGATATTTTTTTTCCAATTTTTAGTTCATTAATAAAATAGAGTACGTAAAATAGACTCAAATTCGATGATATGAAATGACTAGCGAATGACGTGACATAGGTGACGGGGCAGGTTGGATGACATGGAAAAAAAGTAACCTAGTTTGAAAAATAAATTTAGAAGTAATAGAATATTATTAGGCATATTTGTTTCCTAATATGTATTAAACTCCTTTACTATAAATACACAGGTCAGGACTCCTATTGGAGTACCTTTTCCCATTAATTTTCACATGGTATCAAGAGCCCAGAGAAAAACCTAAATTTTTTTTTTCGCTTTTCCCTTGGAATCATCGTCATCGCCGTTCTCTTCCCTCCCGCCATGAACACGGCCGCAGCTTCTTCTTCCCTCTCAGTGGATTCTTCCATCTCAGCGGTCTCTGGCGCTTCCATTCCAACAGATTCCAGTGGCGCACCTCTCTCCTTTGGTTCGCAGCCCAATTTGTCTGGTCAGCAGGTTTCTTCATCTCCTTCGCAGCCCCAATTTCATGGTGCGCAGGTCTCCTCTGTCTCTGCTTCGCCGACTCGCATTACTCTGCCAAATTACTCGCTCTTCCAGAAATCTGCCGCCAGTGTTTTCATGGCCTGCTCCATCTCCGGTTCAGCACCCCACTCTGGACCCACCGCCCTCTCTCTCTACACCACCGGCGCATCAATTCTCGGGACACACGGTGGTTGGTTCTCCAGGGATTTCATCTTCTGTTCCAGCACCAAGGACTGCACTGCCACCGGCTTCTCCATTATTTGGCCCCTCGTTTGCTGGCTTCCCGGGTGTCATTCGGCCACAACATGATCCTTCTCCTCTTGGTTCTCCTATGGCAACCATGGCTCAAGCTGTGTCTCATGGGATTGCTAATGTTGGCCAGATTGTCACCATCGAACTCAAAGCGGTTAAGGACTATCTTACATGGCGCACTCAATTTGAATCGTTCCTGGTGTCCCAGGGTCTTTTTGGTATTTTAGACGGCTCCATTCAGGTACCTCCCTTATACATAGTGGATTTTAATAATCATCAAATCGTTAATACTGATTATTATCATTGGTTTCGGGTAGATCAAACAATACGTTCTTGGTTGTTTGCTACTTTATCTCGTGAAGTATTAACTGATGTTCATGATATTAAACATTCACTTGGTATATGGGAGCGGTTACAATCACGATTTATGTCTACCAGTTTACCTAGAGCAATTGAACTTAAACATTTATTGTCTAATACTAAAAAGAAACCTACTCAATCCATGGAGCATTATTTACGTGAACTTAAAACTTTGGCTGATGCTTTAGTTGCCATTAATTCACCTGTGACTGATAAAGAATTACTACAAAGCACGCTCCTGAGATTAGGACCTGAATATCGGTTTGTTACGGGCACCATATCTTTGTTTCCTGAGAGCTTTCCCCCTGATATTCTCCACCCACGCCTCATGGAAGCTGAGCAGCACCTTTTGCATCAACAGCAGCACGACGATTCCCTTCCGCAACAGGCTTTTGGTGCTCAAGTGGGGACCGGTCAGCAGCAGTCGTTTTATGCGCCACCAGCTGCTCCAACACCCTTCCATCTGCCAGGGCCGAGACCTGCAGGGGGTGTGCATGCCCCGAGACCTCCTAATGATACATCAGGTAAATCGGTTTTGTCCAATTTAAATATTAATGCTCATTATACTTCTGGTACTAATTGTCATTATGCAGGTTTCCCATCCGCTGAGGGTATTCTTGGTTCTGTTCCTTCCCCAGTTGTGTGTCAAATTTGTTTTTCTGCAGGTCACTCTGTGTTGCACTGTCCATCCCGATTTTCACAACCCTCTGCGCCTGCTTTGATTACTCCAAGTGATGAATCAAACGATGTTTTGTGGTATCCCGACTCGAGAGCTTCTGCTGAGATGACATCGTCTGAAGGTATTTTGTCAAATAAATTCCCTTACTCTAGCTCCAAGACTGTTAGTGTTGCGAATGGTACTACTCTTCCCATTTTTAATATTGGAAATATTACATTAAATACTCTCAGCCGCCCGTTATCTTTGAAATCTGTTTTTCACGTGCCTCGAATTAAATTTAATTTAATTTCCATTCAAAAATTGTGTGCTGATAACAAGTGTACATGTTGCCGTTTTTTATAAAAACTATTTTTTTGTTAAGGACAAAATTTTGGGGGCAGTTCTTCTTCAGACGTGTCATAATAGACATCTTTACCCTATCAGCCTCACTTCTTCTGCACCTGTAGCTTTTTTTTTTTGAAAGAAAACAGTAGATAAGTATAACTAGCATATCAAGTCGCAACAAAACAAATTGCAAGATGCTGCAAAAAGCAAGTCTTGGAAAACTGTAGTACAAGGCTGATCAACAGTTCTTAGTACCCATTGATAACTTTCAGAAATTATCATGTCTCCTTGGAAGAACTTGACTAAAGAATACAAAGAACATAAATTAAAAGATACGAATAGGCCTTCCCATTGTGGTCTTTAGGTACATGCACCTTACATTTTGCCAGTTCTTTTTCAGCAATGATACCAAAAAATTCACACTCATTTGAACATTCTGGAAAATCTGCTTATCTTCCATTGCCACATTACCAACAGCAACACCCATACAAAGGACCTTTTTAAGCTGGAATTTCACAGTAGCCTTTGTTTCATCAACTTTGTTCTCCAATGATTCCGAATGTGTCACCAAGGTAGGAAACTTGCCTGCCTTGTTTAGACCAGGGCCCAATAGACGAGGGATTTGTTTGATAACAGCTTCGGATGCTAAAAAAGCATGGTACTTCTTAGCAAGTTTCTTCACAAGTTTATTGTTTTTGTTGAGTTTCTTTAAACTTTCCACATCCATATACTCCATGCCAATTTTCTCAGCCTCTTCCACATGCTGGGCATCTCCAAGCATGCAGACTTTCATCTTAGGGCGCGGGACGTGAGGCAAATTCACAGAACCACTGAAACGCTTGTCCTTTTGCGGGTCATAGTTCTTCAGCCCAATTTGAAGTTCAATGGTCTCAGTGAACTTCTGATTCTTCTCCTTTGAATCACCCATTAGTTGGGAGATCGCTTCTCTCACAGAATCACTTTGCAACTTACTCATGGCGAAAGAATGTTTTGCCCTTCTCAATGTAGCGTAAGACCGTCTGGCTGAGAGATGAGCGGCAGAGACCTGTAGCTTTAGCCACTATTACTTCTCCTAGCCCTGTGTGGCATCGTAGATTAGGACATTGTGGTGAAACTATTTCGTGTGTGTTGCGTCGAAGAAAACTTATTTCTAGTTCGTCTACTTTTGAACATGATTGTGTTTCTTGTCGTTTGGGTAAATCTCAACGGTTACCTTTTTCGGATACTAGTCATAACTCTTCTGCACCATTACAATTAACTAGTTTTTCACCCGTGCGTTGCACATGATGTAATTTCTTAATTTTTAATTTAATATTTATATAATTCTTCTAAATTTAATTTAGAATCATTATTTACACAAGATAATACACTTGTACGATAAGTTAGTTCGATATGAGTTTCTCCTTCCGTCTTGCTAAGATTGTTTAGTCTTTCCTTTTTATCTGTCCCACTAAAATTTTCCATTACAATTTTGGAAAAGTTTGTATGATTCTAAATCATTTTAACTTTATCAATTAAGTATCAATCACAAAAACTCTTTTTTCAATAACTGCACCACATCTTCATGTCCGAGTGTTAGTGGAACGGAGGTAGTCCATTTTTTTTACTCCAGGGGGTCTGGGGGACAGGGTCTGGGGGGGGGGGGGGCTGGAGTAATCAGGGCTGAAATTCACTCTATTGAGTTTCAAACCCTTATGTGTCTAGCGGGTTTTGAACTCGAAACCTTCCACTAGACACGATAACCTCACAACTAGCTGAGTTGGAATGCTATGTTATGAAAATTTCAATTGTTATAATAAAACATGTGTAACTCAATATTTTATTGACTATTGTGGAATTCAATGAAGTGTTAAAATTGGTTTAATGCATCAAATTCCGTGATATGTACATTCGGTACATTGGTCCACTCACTTGCATATTCAATCATCATAATATTAACATAAATGATTTCCAAATTGTTAAATTTGTTTTTGAGGGGATTTTTGCGCATGAATAGTTATAATAGTGAGAGTTTTACGCAATTTCTAAACATAGAATTGTTATCTGGGTTGATTTCACCCCTTGATACTACCACATACAAATGACTATTAGGTAAATATAGGACCGAGTAACATAATGAGGTGCATTTACATGTTCCAAGAAATTGAGATACGCTTCCCCCAATAGATTTTATAGAAATTACCCCAAATAAGAGTAAAACTATGGCAAAAATAAAAAATAGGACATCTTATATTTTTATTCCAAAATAGGACCATATTACTCCTATTTGGAAGCATGGATGTTTTTTCATTCCATTCTTACCTCTCCTTTAAATATGAGTAAAAAGTAGTCAAAAGTCATAATTAAATGTTTTACTTCATAATAAATTCGTAAAAAATAATAAAAACCATAGAAAAATAATAAAAAATTAATAAAGTATTTATAAAATAAAAACTGAAAAAAAAATTAAAAAAATTAAAACTTAATACGGAGTAATAAATAGTAAAAATCCATAAAAAAATATATAGATGCCTTTCCCACCGCTTGTACTGCCTCCCTGCACCACCACCTCCGACTGGTGTAAAAAATGTCATTTTCCCTAAAAATGTCATTTTTTCTATAAAAAATGCCACTTTTTCTAAAAATGTCATTTTTTCCTGAAAATGCCAAAAATGACATATTACTCTTTGAGAATACCAAAATTTTCATTGAATCTGCCATAAATATGGCATTCCTAATGCATGTGGCATTTTCCCCCCCGGTGATCGGAGGTGGTGGTGCTGGGGCAGCAGTGATTTTTTATTTTATTTTTTGCGTTTTTTAAATTTAAGTTTTTTTAAAATTATTATTTAAATATCTTTATTAATTTTTTTAGTATTTTTTACGAATTTTAATTATTTTTTATTATTTTATTATGAATTGAAACATTTGAATAGCTATAAGGGTATATTTGTCCAAGACACACATAATTAGTCCTATGAAACATAGTTTTTTTGTCCTGTTTGTGCAAACGGACCGACTTTTAGTCCTATATGCATAATTAACTTTAGATTCTATCGTATTAGATGTGAAAGGAGCTTGATGGACGATAATTACTATAAAAATAGGACATTAAACCTTAGACTCATACAGTATAAATTTGAGATAGTATTTACTCCTTTCACAAAACAATCGTGAAGAGTATTGATGTTTAAATGCATTTAGAGAGGCAAAAAATATTGATAGTAGAAAATATATAAATCATTCAATAAATCAAAATTATCAAAGGCATAAAATGAATATTTAAGTGTACTTGTTTGGAATAAATTCCGCGAGTTCCACATAGAAAAAATGGAAATGAATATTTCAGAAAATACTTTGCAAGACTGAATTTGTGAATACAATGTTGACCCATTTGAGCTCCGTTAATGACCCATTTTCGCTGATAAGATAGATCTAGGAAGGAAAATTATCGAGTTGGCTCCAGTAATGAACCATTTTCACAAGAGGGAAGAATAAAATGAGGGAAAGAAGAACGGTAAATTAAAAGGATTGAGAAAAAAAGAACATGAGTGGAAAACCAACTAAATGTGTATATATAATTGAATATAAGGAATACGATTAAATTGGAAGAGAAATTGAATACAGTTAAACTGAAAAGAAAATTAATATCATTAATTATTATTATTATTAGAGGCTTAATACCATTAATTATAATTATCTTAACCTAACTAATAAAGGACACATATTCTTATTAAATGCTACACCCTCTTGGGACTTTGCTTTCTCCACCTGTACATTGTGCTACTATTGTTATACCCTGATTATTAAGCAGATGAAGACGTTAACCGATCGCTTACTTGCTTCACGCCGTCTAACTCTACCTGTTCAAACCAAATGGACTCCTTCGGACTGCTTCTTTTTCCCAATTCCGTTTCTGAAGCTAAACGGCCGTACTCTTCCACCGATCGTTCCAGAAGTTGGAGCATCAATGGGGATTTCATTAAATTCCTATTCAATGATGAAATTTGATCAGTTTCAAATTTTTGCTCAATCAAATCTCCGTTTCGGAATACTTAAAACTCTTCCTCCCATCATTTGACATGCCCACCGGAAAGGGCTGCCTATGGTCAGAGCACGCCCCCCCCCCCCCCCCCCCCCCCCCGCATCGATGGGCTTTGGGCAGAGCTTTCACTTTTGGTCCCTCCTGCAGCCATTTCTACTCCTCCGGCCAAGATTCTTCCCTTCGCACACGCCGCTTCTTCTCCGGCTTCAATTAAACCTCTCCGTTCCTTCATTCAATCTTCTGTCTCAACACCCCTCTCGCTCTCCACTGCTACCGTAGCTACAAGGCCACTCTTCTCCGTCAATAGCCAGAGCACCGCCGTCCAATCTGAATCGGCATTTTCATTAACTAGAGGTCAGAGTAAATTTCTCAATTTTTTCGATTTTGTAGTGAAATTTTGGAACCCCTTTTTGAATACTTGAAATTTCTTTAAAATTTGAAACCTATTCTGAAATTTAATCCATAAGTTAAGAAAAATTAAATATGATTTGGTTTTCGTATTTCCGGCAGATCCCAAGGTTCAAGAGCTGTGTGTGTACGAGATCAACGAGCGAGATCGTCGGAGCCTGGCGTACCTCCGGCTGAGCTACAAGAAAGTGAACTCCCTCAGAGATTTGATCCATGTGTTATTTGTTCTTCTTTATAAAAAAATCTACATGACTGTATGCAACTAAACCTCGATTTTGTGGTATAGGTGCTTTTAATACTTTGCATATAATCTGTTTGATAAAATGTTTAGGTGAAGAAAACTATTAATCTGAAAACATTTTGTGTAATAATCTCTTAACTTTTGGGTTAGTTTCTTAATAGCATGCATTTGGATATGATATTCCCTGTCAACGTGGGGAAAACGAATCAAAGGAAATGTGATAGAAATGTATGGTGTGTGAAAAATATTCAAAGTTAAGAAAAATATTTTTGTTATTTTGATTGATTTCTTTGTCTTTATACATTGATTGAAAGTGTATTATTTCTTAATTTGTCGAGCCGGTAGGTATGAGGACGCTTCAACTCATTCTATGGACACTCCAATCGCGTATTCCATCATGGAGGTATATATGTTCTTCGTACATGCTTATATCGTGAATTTTAACTTTTTTGAATTTCAACTCTTAAACTTTCATTAATAATTTTCTTTTTTATCTTCTAGGGTCATGACGACAAGAAGTGAAAAAAAACTTTTTTTGTAAATCCTTTTCTTCAACTTATAAAATCATAACAAGTTCCACTTTGTTCCTATGAAAAGCATGTTATGTTACTATTTTTACCTTGATGGATAGTCTACCCGGGGGTATATATCCGAAGGTTATTGCAGAGAATAACTTAGAGAGAAGTCAGAGTACAAGTAAGTAAGAGAGAGAGTATATTCAGTCTGAATGTCGTGGTTACAAATGGGGAAAGGGGTTGCTATTTATAGTAGTAATAAATGCCGGACAGGGACACGTGTCAAGCGCCCATTGGCCGAGGGGTCACCTCAACTGGTTGGCGCTGGCAACCGCATGTGGCCGCATTTAATGTGGCTGTTGGATGAGACGTTGTACAGGGTACGGTGATCTGTACGCGCGTGAAGAGGAGATCTTGTCGAGTGAGGTGCCTTCGGCTATAGAGCAACAGCCGAAGGCTCCTCAAACCGATGGCACCCTGGTGCCGAGGGCTCCTGATGCCGAGGGCTACTGTTTTCGCCGTTTTCTCCCAGTTTCTTAGTTTGCTTGAGAAACCCATTCTGTGAGAGTCTAGAGCCTTCGGCCAGGGGGTCGAAGGCACCCCTAGTGCGCTATGGGCTGCTTGGCACTCCGGGCGCCATGTTTTGGGCCTGTTGGGCCTGTTGGGCCTTTACTGGAGTAATATGAGTCTGTGGGCCGGCGGTTCCCG